CAATCCATAACTAAAATGCACTTAATTTGCAATTACGAATTCTCAAAAGGGTAAGGCTACCTACAAAGAACATATTGGCGAAATAAAATTACATTGTTCGAAAAAGAAAAGTATGAATATCATTCAGATATGAAGTGCATAATACTCAATTACCGCCAACAATGCAGGGAGTGGCCCTTGTTCAGTTAAACTAAAGTGGAACCGGTAGTTTTCTTCTACTGGATGTTTATAGACTTCCAATAATAAAACTACATAATTTTATAAACAAATCGAAGGGGAACGATCGCTTAAGTGTATATTCTGTGGGCTGTTTCGAACGATAAGTTTGTTGACGACAGTCGCGAAAACTGTCCGTGTCTTCTGTATAATAATCGTCACCCACATTTCGCCTACGACTTCACCTTACATCGCCAATACCTTGCAGAAATATTGCCGCCTACAAAAGGTAGAGCTTAGACTTATGAATTCGTTCTTTTTATATATATATATATCCGCAGATCGTGACCTATCGCAGTGAATCTCGAGGAAGTGGTGTTGGCAGAATTGTCATTGTTCTCATAGGGATTGTAAGCCGACGTGGAATAAAAAATGGATAAGTTTACACATTTTTTTGTGGCACAATTGCCAACAAATCAAAATATTGAGCATTTGTCTTTTCAAAACAGTATTCAAATGCGATAATAATGTTAAAACACGATTAAAAAGAACATTGAACAGCTCGTTCACCGTCTATTTGAGGAAGTAAATTTACATTGAGAACAAATAATGTGGTATTTTCTGGACTTTACGCCACGTCAACTATCTATGGTTTATTTAACATAATATAGGTAAATAATAATATAGTGTGATAGACATAAATAGCTGGCAAACCTGCCAACTCTTCCAGTTTCTTTACCATAATATCAGGGGTCTGTCCAGACATTTTGTGAAAGGTCCGTTTTTCGTGAAATTGTGAAAAAATTACTCACATTCTTTCAACCAGGGTCCGCTCTTACGAATGTGTGCAAATAGGGTCCGTTATTGCAAAAAAACTTTTTCAAGGAGTTTTTAAATTGTAAAGACATACAAGATTATGCTCAACACTGTAAAATTATAATTAAAAAAATTAAATTTAAAAAAATAAACAACAATTGCTGCTTTTAAGTCTATACAGCTGAACGCAGAATATTAATTTCGGACGAATAAAGGAAGAAGTGTCTGCGGAAGACAAAATTTAGTTTCTTTACATCTGTCTTTCTTCCTGGGAAGTGTCAATCGATTAACGAAACAATAATGAAGATGAACAAATTTGTGAAGAGCCGTTTTTAAGTTAAAATATTTTGTGAAGGGTCCGTTTTTATGAAAAGATATTTTGTGAAGGGGCCGTTATTATGAAAAGATATTTTGTGAAGGGGCCGTTAACGGACCCAAATTTCTTCTTAACAAACCCCTGAATACAGATAATTAATACAGGTAATTATTAATATAGGGTAAACCAACCAGTGGAGGAATACTACCCAGTGAAGGAACATTTCATATAGTATATTGTTTAAAAATAAGAATTTGAAAGTTTTTCTTTAGATTGATTGGTAATAAATAGCTTACGGGTCAGTAAGCTATTATAAAGTCAGTTTTTACGGGTTGCTCATGAAAATTTTTATCAAAAAAGTTCTATTTGTTGCTAGGCGACGAAGGAAACCGACAAATAATTTCTTCTCGTGCGGTGGCAAAATATTTTTCTATATATTATAAGCTACAGACTTGTTTGAGAAATTTTCCCTTGAAAAGTAGGGGAGAGTGGGATCAATTGTAAAATTTTTTTCTTAACTATTTTTAACTAACAAAAAATCCAAAATATTATTAGTATTAATTGACAGACGAGTAAAGTAGACTATCCTCTACTAGAAAATTAAAATAAATACCTTATTTTAAATGTTATTATAGGTTAAACCAACCAGTGAAGGAACATTTCATATATATTGATTAAAAATAAGAATTTGTAAGTTTTCCTTTAGATTGATTGGTAACAATAGCTTACTGCCAAACTATAGGAAGTCATCTAGCAATGTTTTGGATTACCTGTTCAAATAGACTTCTCTAGAAAAAAATTTTAATTTGTTACTATCTCTGCAACACATTGTTTCTTTGAAAAAATTATAAGGTGAGTGTTTGTATTTATATGTTTGAAGTGGAATTAATTGCATGTAATAGTTTTATTTTTCTCACTGTGAAAAAGAGAATTCAAAATATAGTTATTATATTAGTGCTAGAGAGTTTTGTCGCAGAAAGCCAGAAAAATTTCTGCCACAAGGTAACTCACTAATTTATATAAAAAAATTTTAAAAAACGCATACATTTGTTGCACTTTCTAACAGCTGGCAAAAATAATCTAAAATTCTACTTAAAACTACACAAACTTTTAATATAAAACCGAATCATGCAGTTAAATAATAAGTACCCTTAAAACACTTATAGAACACACAATTTTTATTGCAGACGCGTTTGTTAAAATCTGTTCAATATGATGCCCATTTACAATTGATTATTGTTGTATAATATTATTTTGCTTTGTAGTGTACATAAGCAGTTTCCAAGTGCTAAAAAAAAATTTTTTCCTTACAAATCACTACATTCAATTCAAAACTTTCACAGTTAGTGGGCGGAAATAAAAAGTAAGAGGCCCTTTGAAAGGGACAATATTTTCCCACCCGGCACACTCGGGCGTAGTTGTTTCGATTGGGTCAACAAGTTTTTTTTTTTTTTTTTTTTTTTTTTGAAGAGGACCTTTCATGGACATGCTGTATCATCTGCCAAAGATTTCGTTCAACATTATTTGTCACAGATTTTTGCCTAGTTTATTTTAACTCGCATCAAAAGATTGCCAAAAATATCATTCAATATTGCTAATATTATTTGTCTCTACTATAAACTTTTAACTCGCTTGGAGCACCCAGCCACGGCAAAACATCTAGCCCTGGAGCTTTATCTTTTAATTGCCATGATAGGAGTGCCACGTAATTTAGATAGTGGTCAGTACCTGAGCTGGTACCGATCTTTCTATCTTCTACACCAGCGGTTCTCAAAAGGAGTTCCGTGGAAAACTCACAGGAGTTCCGTGGGTTAAGGCTACGTATTTTAAAAAAATAGATATTCTTGAGCCTTAATGGCATTCGGTAGAGTCGTCAGGGGTCTGTCCAGACATTTTGTGAAAGGTCCGTTTTTCGTGAAATTGTGAAAAAATTACTCACATTCTTTCAACCAGGGTCCGCTTTTATAAATTTGTGCAAATAGGGTCCGTTATTGCAAAAAAAAAAATTTCAAGGAGTTTTTAAATTGTATAGACATACAAGATTGTAAAATTGTAACACTGTAAAATTCAACACTGTAAAATTGTAATTAAAAAAATTAAATTTTAAAAAATAAACAATAATTGCTCCTTCTAAATTAGAGATGCAACATACAAATATTTGGTATTTAGCCTATACTGCTGAACGCAGAATATTAATTTCGGACGAATAATGGAAGAATCGTCTGCCGAAGACAAAACTTAATTCGTTTACATCCATCTTTCTTGTTTTCTGCCCTGGAAAGGGTTTATTCGATTAACAAAATAATAATGAAGATAAACAAATTTGTGAAGGGTCCGATTAAAAGAAAAATCATTTTGTGAAGGGTCCGTTTTTAAGTTAAAATATTTTGTGAAGGGTCCGTTTTTAAGTTAAAATATTTTGTGAAGGGTCCGTTTTTATGAAAAGTTATTTTGTGAAGGGTCCGTTAACGGACCCAAATTTCTTCTAAACAGACCCCTGGTCGTGATAGCTCAGAGGATAGAGCGTTCGCCTTTCAATCAGGTGAACCGGGTTCGAATTCCAGTGATGGCTGGTGATACGGATTCCGCACCGACCACAATGCTGACATAAAATATCCTCAGTGGTAAACGGGTCATGGGTCCCCTTGACGTCAGGCTAACCGTGGAAGATTTTCGTGGTTTTATTTTTCGTGTACGCAAATGAGGGTTAGTTCCATCAATACTTGGTTCACAAGTTCTCTTGTCTTCTGGATTGGGTTCGAAATTACAGGCTACGGAGTTAAACATTAGTAGTTGTAAACTTAAATATTTAATTGGCTGTTCAACGAGGGATATAAAATAAAATAGGTATTCTTGAAAAGTTTAATACACCACACTTAATTACTTAATATTTATTAATATTATTTATTTAATGTTATTAAATTTATTTAATGCTTCGGTTATTTTTATGAAATTATTGAATGAAAGCAAAACAACATAGAGTTTAAAAAAATAATTTCAATAATTATTTATTTTCTTATTCGTACATAAGTAATTCTCCGTCGAATTTTAAAATCCAAAATAAAATTAAATAATTCAAGAATAAATAATTATTTTTCTCCAAGAACCATTCTAACAGTTGAAAAGAATTTTTTTTTTTTTAAAGCAGATGTCAGCTTATTTTATTCAATTTAATTTAGGTATACGGCATTAAGTAGTACAGAAATCCGTTGCAGACCTATGGATTCAACTATCTTACAAAATATAATTTTAAAACTGTTAATTGACTAAATAATTAATTAATTTCATTCTTTTCTATAAATATTTCCAAACTATTCTTTTTCCTTTATATTCTAACTCATTCACAGCTGTTAATAAGTGTTTAAAAAAAATTAAATAAATAAAAACAGCCATCGCTGGGATTCGATCCGAGTTCACCTCATTGAATGGCGAACGCTCTATTCCCTGGGCCATCTCCGATCATATAAATTATTTATAAAGAGTAAGAAACCGAAAGGAAATCTCAACCCAAATTCAACCAGCTTCTTTAATTTCATTTATAATCGCACACTTTATCTCCGCCTAAGATCTTGTCACCCTATCCCGCATCAGCACCAATGCTTTGTACCCCGCCAAGATTTCATTTTCAACCAACAATAGAGGGTCTTTTCAGTTATTGTTCGGAAAGTTCAAGAAAAAACTCCATTTCTACAAAAGGAAAGATCTCACTCACACGCATTCCTTTGTATCGTCTGCCAACAGCTATGCGGGAGGTATAGAGGGATTTCTTTGTACCTGCCCATAATCCACCGACTAGGCAGCCCTGCCGAGCCTCCGTTATACACCAATGAAAGCACCTTTTGAAGAAAAAAAATTGGAGAATTTTGTGTTAAGACATCAATGGTGCACTTCATTTAAAATTGAGTTGTTGTCATGATGAAACATTCAATTACGTTCGTATTGTCGTGTATTTGTCGTAAACAAGTTTGTCCTGATTTCGCACTTTTAAAAATAGATTATCGTGAAATGTGAACTTGAATATCAATCGAAATACAATATTAGAGTTTTACCGATATCGACAGAGTGGCGAGAAAACATATAGAATCAAAATTAGCACATTAATAATTTTTCAACGCCTATAATGATTTAAATAATTTACGATTAAACTGCATTAAAATTAATTAGATATAAATGCCGATTCCACTAATCAATCTCATATTAAAATCCTAGATGTTTATGTATAATTGAGATAGTTAAATGACAAGAGTTGGAAGCGCTTATACTGCGCAAAGCACAACTGTTAACGTACTAAATGTAAAAAGTCACGGGGTGAACAGGGGTCTGTATAGAAGAAATTTGGGTCCGTTAACGGACCCTTCACAAAATATCTTTTTATAAAAACGGACCCTTCACAAAATATTTTAACTTAAAAACGGACTCTTCACAAAATAATTTTTCTTTTAATCGGACCCTTCACAAATTTGTTTATCTTCATTATTGTTTTGTTAATCGAATAAACCCTTCCCAGGGCAGAAAACAAGAAAGATGGATGTAAACGAAGTAAGTTTTGTCTTCGGCAGACGATTCTTCCGTTATTCGTCCGAAATGAATATTCTACGTTCAGCAGTATAGGCTAAATACGAAATATTTGTATGTTGCATCTCTAATTTAGAAGCAGCAATTGCTGTTTAGGTTTGAAAATTTAATTTTTTTTATTATAATTTTACAGTGCTGAGTATAATCATTATGTCTTTACAATTTAAAAACTCCTTTAAAAAGGTTTTGCTATAATCGGACCCTATTTGCACAAGTTCATAAAAGCAGGACCCTGGTTGAAAGAATGTGAGTAATTTTTTCACAAAAACCGGACCTTTCACAGAATGTCTGGACGGAGCCCTGGTGAGATAAACTCAGGAGCAATATTTAATCGGAAATTAAACTAAAAGGGAACGATAAATGGAATGGAAGATATGTATATCTGTAGAATAAATTTCAGTTTTTAAGGGGTTATTTATATTTTAAATCTTATAATTGACAGTTATTTTAATTCCTAATTTATCTATAGGTTGAATTTGAGGCAGTCCATTTCGATATTCTTACAATTTTGAAATCAATTCAGAAGACAAGTATCAGTACCTCATTTTATACAATTTTTTAGCGTAGGTGAACCAGGTTCAATCCCAGCGTTGGCCGGTCTATTCGAATTCTGTTCCCGGCTAGCGCCGGCCACAGTGCTGATATAAAATATCTATAAAGGGTTAAAATCCCCATGCCGTCTTGCTAACAGTGGGAAGTGTCCGTGGTTTTCTTCTCCGAGCAACGCAAATGCGACTGAGTTCTATCAAAAAGTTCTCCATGAAGGCTAGTTTGTCCCAAAGGGTGATCCAGGAATTTTCTCGATTGCGGTCAAATATACTATGCTACAGAGTTGAATATTGATAGTCCTAAACTCAGATTTGGGTCAGCTGTTCAACAACGGTTATAAAAAATAAAATTGTTAGCATTGTCGTTACTTTACATTTTTACATATTAGCATATTAGTACAACACAAAGGGCGACCTTTGTGCTAAAATACAAACTAAGGTAAACAACGTTTAAGAGAACAAAAATATTATTATATTAATAATTTATAATAATACTTTTGTATAATTATTTATTATAATAATAATAATGAATATTATTATAATAATATTTTTGTGCTCTTAAACGTTGTTTACCTTAGTTAGCATATTAGTGTTATAAAGCTTTTTAGTGCAAAAATAATTCATGAATTATTAAATTCTAGAAAATGAAAGAAATCTTTAAAGATCTTCAGCTTAAAATTAAACATAAGACAAATGTATCATAAAAAGCATATTTTCAACTATTTTGAAATTTTCATTGATTCATTGAAATTTCAGCTATTTTCAAAAAATAATTTCATTGATAAAACTAGCTTTGATGAATGAGAAACTGTTTTCTAAACAAACATAATTCAAACACGAAAAATTCACGTTCATAATAAGATGGATAAACAAAAAGAAGAAAAAGGACTACTAAATTAGGAAATGAAATAATCAAAGATAGCATTTTAAAAGAGTAAGAAGTCTTTTAGACAAATAAATGATAACAGACCAACTGCCAAAGCTGGTATTTTTTTCTAAAACATCTTCCCACGTTTGCTCCTAACAGGCATTTACTTAACCTTGAAAGTAGTAGCTGCTTTTAAAATGAAGTTTTGAACATTTATGATAAATTTTACTACTTCATTAACTATTACGGAACAGGATAATTTTCTTTTTATGGCAAGTTTAAGTTATTCTTTCAAAGAAGGAAAAATGTGGGAGACGGTTTCAAAACAAAGATAATAAACTTTTTCTTGGATTTGTTGTTGTTTCTAATGCCACTTGCGAAATACCAGCAAGCCTGCTTGTTTAAACCAAGCTAATTTAAGGCAGATGGTGAGGTTCTTATTTTTTCAGAGGCGCCGTCTACGACCAAGAATACGACTTCAGCCACACACACACGGCACAACCCGTATTAAAGGGCTGGCCCATTAAAAAAATTCATTCATCACACAGATCGCAATTTTGACCTGAACCAGAGAACTACCAGTCTTCAGTTCAGTATCTCCAAAGGTATTGGTTTGTTATGGGAACTTGGAGGTCTTAGTCACCCCGACAGACTTTACCTTGCACCAGTCACATTTTAAAACACGGGGGTCTTAGGCCAGCTGGACATGGGCCCAACGCCCTACCACTCAGGGCTATCCTGAGGTTTAGGTGGTTAGAATTAAAACTAGCAACCTTTCAACTTAAAATCGAACTGTTTCTTTACGTTAAAAAATTTTTCTTAACATTTTATAATTTAAATATTACACAGATTTATTACCTTTTAAAAGACACACAAACCTTAAAAAAAATCCAATTGACAAACTTAAATGTTTGCAATTGGATTTTTTTTTTAAGGTTAATGCAGAATTTATGGAGTAAATCTGAAGCGCTTTAAATAAGTCAGAGGTATCAGCATTTCAGGAGAAATTATGATTCCATAACTGAACTATCAGCATTTCAGGAGAAATTATGGTTCCATAACCAGGGGTCTGTTTAGAAGAAATTTGGGTCCGTTAACGGACCCTTCACAAAATATCTTTTCATAAAAACGGACCCTTCACAAAATATTTTAACTTAAAAACGGACCCTTCACAAAATGATTTTTCTTTTAATCGGACCCTTCACAAATTTGTTTATCTTCATTATTATTTTGTTAATCGAATAAACCCTTTCCAGGGCAGAAAACAAGAAAGATGGATGTAAACGAATTAAGTTTTGTCTTCGGCAGACGATTNATGGTTCCATAACTGAACTATCAGCATTTCAGGAGAAATTATGGTTCCATAACTGAACTATCAGCATTTCAGGAGAAATTATGGTTCCATAACTGAACTATCAGCATTTCAGGAGAAATTATGGTTCCATAACTGAACTATCAGCATTTCAGGAGAAATTATGGTTCCATAACTGAACTATCAGCATTTCAGGAGAAATTATGGTTCCATAACTGAACTATCAGCATTTCAGGAGAAATTATAGTTCCATAACTGAACTATAAGCATTTCAGGAGAAATTATGGTTCCATAACTGAACTATCAGCATTTCAGGAGAAATTATGGTTCCATAACTGAACTATCAGCATTTCAGGAGAAATTATGGTTCCGTAACTGAACTATCAGCATTTTAGGAGAAATTATGGTTCCATAACTGAACTGTAAGCATTTCAGGAGAAATTATGGTTCCATAGCTGAACTATAAGCATATTAGGAGAAATTATTGTTCCGTTACGGATCCTGCATAAAAACTTTCGCAAATCGAAATCTTCACAAAATATTTTATTATAAAGACATATCCTTCATAAACCTTTCTTTTCCAAAAACGTAGTCGTTAATTTATAATTTTAAAACTATCGTTGAAAAACATTGCTTGCTTGCTTTTTCTCGTAAAATTTCCCTGTATAAAATCTTCATCATTTAAACTAATTCTCCACAAAATATTTTATCGCTAAGTCGAAAACGAAACCTTAAACAAGAAAACGAACTCTCGGAAAACTTTTCTCTTGAAAAAAGGAGCTAATGGCGTCTTTAACAGCTAGAAAGACTGAAACTTAGTATATATACCTATATTGCCCAAACGCAGTCAAAATGACTGCATTGTGAAAGAATAATGTGCAAAAAAATTTGTTTAAAATGAATTTTTAATATTTTTTATATTATTTACAGTTATATAACAAGTTATTAGTAAATATTAACAATAAAAAAATTATATGTTGTACAAAAAGTCACAAAATTCTAAGAAGTTGTGTCATTATTATCAGGGGTCTGTCCAGACATTTTGTGAAAGGTCCGTTTTTCGTGAAATTGTGAAAAAATTACTCACATTCTTTCAACCAGGGTCCGCTTTTATGAATTCGTGCAAATAGGGTCCGTTATTGCAAAAAAACACTTTTTCAAGTAGTTTTTAAATTGTTAAGATATACAAGATTATGCTCAACACTGTAAAATTATAATTAAAAAAATTAAATTTTCAAAAATAAACAACAATTGCTGCTTCTAAATTAGAGATGCAACATACAATACAAATATCTGGTATTTAGCCTATACTGCTTATTAATTTCGGACGAATAATGGAAGAATCGTCTGCCGAAGACAAAACTTAATTCGTTTACATCCATCTTTCTTGTTTTCTGCCCTGGAAAGGGTTTATTCGATTAACAAAATAATAATGAAGATAAACAAATTTGTGAAGGGTCCGATTAAAAGAAAAATCATTTTGTGAAGGGTCCGTTTTTATGAAAAAATATTTTGTGAAGGGTCCGTTAACGG